AGTATTACATCTAATCCATCCGAGCCGATCACATTTCAGGGGCAGACAACACCCAGGCGGACTGGTTGAGTAGCACCACCATAGACCACGCAGAGTGGCACCTGCATCCGGTTCTGTTCTGCCAGTTATTGCAGAAATTCGGCACCCCTGTGATCGACCTGCTCACCACCCAAGAGAACACGCAACTGCATCACTTCTCCCGCTTTCACTTGCCCCGGGCAGAGGGGACAGATGCCCTTTGCTGTAAATGGCCTCTGGGATTTTTGTACACATTTCCGCCTCTACTTTTTCTATCACAAGTGATCCGCAAGATCATGGCGGAGGTGGCATCCCATTGGCCCAGGAGGTCCTGATATGTCGACCTTGTCAGACTCTGTGTGACCAAACCTTGGTGAATCCGTCAGTGTTAGGTGTCCCTCAGCCAGGGGACCATTGTTTGCCCAGACCCCCAGTGGTTCCATTTGGCTGTCTGGCACTTGAGGGGACCTCTTGAGGAGAGACATTTTCTCGGATAAGGTGACCAATACCATCCTGGTGACCTTCCACCACCAGAATTTACAATTCAACATGGGTCATGTTTGCCAGGTGGTGTGACACTCATCATATTGATCTGGTCACAGTGTCAGTTCCAAATATTTTGGACTTTCTGCAGGAGGGTCGTAACAAGGGGTTAGCTCCCAACACCCTCCATCGTCAGGTCACTTCCCTGTCCACTGTTTGGTCTGGATATTCAACACAGCTTCTCCGCAGACTTCCGAAGGTCTGGAGTTTCCTCAAAGACACCTTGAACCTATATCTTCTGGTGGTTCACCATTACCCAACCTGGCAACTATCGGTAGTTCTTCAGACACTGACTTCAGTTCCCTTCGAGCCTCTTCACGCAGCCTCCCTCTGACTCTTCACACTCAAAACAGTTTTTCTCATTGTTATAACTTTGGCAAGGAAAATATGAGGACCTCTCGGTCCAGGAGGACTTATGTATTACACATCCAGACAGAGTTGTGTTTTGCCTGGATCTGGCATTTATCCCAAAAATTAACTCCTGGTTTCACAGGGCGCATGAGGAAATTTGCCAAACTTTTGCCCACGCAAAAGACATCTGAGGGAAAGGGTCTGGCATACTCTGGATGTCAGGTGTATCCTTCGTAGATATATTAAACGAACAGCAGAATTACGCAAGTCTGAGGCTCTTTTCATGTCCTTCCATCTGGAGTCCCTGGGGCGAAAGGTAACATCCTCAATTATCAGCAGATGGCTGAGGGCGTGCATCATGTCAGCGTATGAGCACCAGTCTAAGGCAGTTCCTCGCCATATCATTGCTCATTCCACAAGGAGCGTGGCTACCATCGCTGCCTCGGCAACCCAAGCAACAATAGACAAGCTCTGCAGAGCAGCAACATGGTCGTCCCCATCACCATTTGTCAGAAACTATAGATTGGACACATTTGCTTCCGCTGAGGCATCATTCGACAGAACAGTCTTGCAGGGAGTTATGTCCACGACCGACACCCTGTACTGACCTTCTTCCCGCCTAGTGACAGTTAACTTGGGTGTGTCCCATGCTTGGACACTCTAAGCAGTACACAGGAGAATGACCATTGGCTTACCTGAAGAGTCATTCTCTGGTTTCATCAGAGGCAACAGAGACAATCTGGCTTTCATCTCATCATCATCCTTCTCCAGTTCCAGATCTTCTAAAAAAACCTGGCATTAATGAGGACCAGGAGGCGTGGTTAAAGAAAATAATTACCTCAGTCCTTGAGCATTGAGACTAATTTAACCCATGCTTGGACTCTCCCACAATGCACAGAGAACGACCCTTCAGGTAAGCAAATGGTCATTCCAGTTTGTCTTCATGAAATAAATATATTTCTTTTCTGGAACTTTATCAAATAGTTATAAGCAGAGGTGGGCTTCAGCCAGTTCATCCTGGTTTGGGCGAACTGGTTGTTAAAATTCTACCCAGTTTGGTGAACTGGCTAATTCCACCACTGGCTAGCCCCACCCCCACCCATTTTGGGGCCATTTTTGGATGTTCAGTAGTAGTAAATAAATAGAGAGGAAAATTGAGTCAAAGGCCACAACAAGGTACAATTCCCTCTCTGTTTATTTACTACTACAACATCCAAAATGGCCTGGAAAATGGCCTGAAAATGTCCAAAAACAGCCTGAAAAACAACCTGAAAATAGCTGAAAAACAGCTGTAAATGGCCTGAAAAAAACATGGCCAAAAGACAGGCTGAATAATGAAGATTTTAAATCTTCAATTATCTCTCTTGAAGCTGTATAGCAATCTGGATTTGAAAGGGGAAAATTAATTTGTAGGTTGTGTGGGCACACACTTCAGAGCTCTCAATATCTCACATCCATTGTACTTTTTCCTGCCCTGCTGCAGAAATCTTTTAAACATTTGCTGGGAAACACAAAGTGAGCCTTATCCCAAAACATATTCCATCCTCAGAATTTGAATTATTACATAACCATATGAAATATATAAAATCGCACTAAGCACAGTAACATCTGGACTATAAGTTCCCATACTCTATGTATGGATTATGTTGAACGAATGTATTGTCTTTGGGTTGATTTAAAGCCAATATATAAGGAAAACAAGAAAACTTCATCAAAAACTTGAATTGCCATAATGCTGTCTTCCTAAAGCCTCCTGCTTCCTTCTTTGTTCCAATTACAATTTCTGTTCTAATAAACTTTATGTCCGGTTATAGAACCAATTTTGAAAAAATAAACTTGAAAGAGGGTCAAAATTCCTTCCACCCACTTGGACCTTTTCCTCATATCAGTACATATCTTTGCAAAACAGTTTGTGCTTTAAAACAAACATCTGTCTTTAGCACATTTAGTTGGACAACAAGTTTGGAAAAAAATCAAGGAAAGGAGGGAGGAAAACCAAGAGACACCCCCCCTCCGCAAAAATAATGGAGTAGGATAGGGAAGGAATCTTAAGTATCAGTGTAAAACAGCACAGCTCCTGTAGTTATTTGCAAACCTCAGTGGAGGATCTGAGGATCTTGAGGAGTAATTCTAAGACTCTCCCTAAACCAGGAGAATCATAAATTGAAAGAATGCCCATTCCTTCCATTAGTAGTTGAAGATCTATAAGTTAAAGATCCCACCCTAGGTTTGAATTCTGTTGCCGTCTCAATTTTATTCCAGGTTATTTTTGATTCTCAATCTTGGGATTTCCCACTAGGAATTTTCTGTGCTTTTGAAGTATAAACCAAGTTTAATTCTGCATATATATATATTTTCCAATATCACTATGGTGAGATAGGTGTCAGCAATAGGTGTTTCTGCTTGCTTACAGCTGTATCTTTATTAGGGCCAATCATACTATACATACATATTATATAACATAATATGTAACTGAGAGATTTTGCTTATGTTGCTTTTCATCTAGGAGCTCAATGTGATAGTTCACAAATGATAATTCTCCTAGGAGGGAAAAGTACTATAAGCTACTGGGAACTCTATAATGTGACTAGTACTATAGATCAGAGGTGGTATTCAGCAGGTTTTGATCAGTTCAGGGGGGGAAATGGAGATTTTACAGTATCCTTCCCCTGGAGTGTGTTGGGAATGGAGATTTTACAATATCCTTCCCCTGCTATGCCCACCAAGCCATGCCCACAGAACCGGTAGTAAAAAAAAAATTGAATCCCACCACTGCTATAGATCTAAATCTATTTTTTTCCTCTTTTGAAATATCTTTTGAGGTATTGCCTTGAAATTTGCATTGTTGTTAGGATTTTTTCTTGCATTATAAGTCTCTTTCCTAGTTATACCTCTCACAGGAAGAGTTTGTTTTCCATGGGAAAAATTCTCTCTTTCTCTCCGTAATGGACTTGCCTGGGAAAGAACATGGTACATTTGCAAATATTATATTTTCTGAACATCCGCACATTCCTCCTTTATTCAGAACTCTTTCCCTCACTACATGAAGAGGTGGATAGCAAGAAATCTCCATTCTAAATGTGTGTTAAAATAAATATATCAGATCACTAAATTTCTGTAATCTAAATCCATTTTTCCTTTTCAGTGTATCCACTTAATAAGATATGAGAATTTAGCTGTTTGGTGGTAAGCAGTTGCTTTGAATTGACTCCATCTTATAGTTCCTGTACTTAGGTTCAGGCTCTTCTTTCCAGTTCAAAACAGAATGGTAACTTGTCTCTGTCATATCCCATAGATTTGACAGGTTATTCATCCAAATAAGAAAAGCAGAGACGACAAGGAGACAAATCATCAAGTTTATACCTTTTCAGAAGAGACTGAGTTGAGAATAGTTTCTGTGCCACCACATGATTTAAAAAAAACAGCCACTCAGAGTGGCTTCTATATGCACTATAGGTTATAATGTACCACTCCTCACAGTATTGTTTTCAATAGTTTTTACTCCTTTTTTATATTAGCAGAGATATTTTGGCAAATTAAGGTGGAGGAAAGAGCGATACAAGCAAATTATTATATTTAACTTTTTGTATATGAAATATTTTATTCACTCAGATTCTTTGCCGAATTGTGATTAAATGAAATCACAGCCTTGGTGATGTAATGCACCAGCCTCACCAGCCTTGGTGATGTAATGCACATTTGAAAAGGAAAAGATTTGATGCACCATTAGATGGGCCATTTTGACTTTTTTTTTTACTATACTGGATATCGTTAAATCAATGGGATCAATGTGGATTCATTTCTTGATCAGTTTGAGTCTGGGGTTATGTTGATTGAATGATATTGTTTGTCTGTCTGTCTCTCTCTCTATGTATGTGTGTGGTTATAGTGCTATAAATGTCAGCATACATAAAAAGATAAAAAACTTCAGGTATTCTCTGAATTTATTATGTGTATTTGGGACTTGGGAAAAGGACAGGCATTTAATGCAAGTCTTAACTTCTCTCTGCTATTAGCACTGTACTACAGCAATGTCAATAGTTAAATGCACTAAAATTATATTTCTCTTTCTCTTTCTCTCTTTTTAGCAATTGAAACTCAGAGCACCAGTTCTGAGGAGCTTGTTCCCAGTCCACCTTCCCCGCTTCCTCCCCCTCGTGTTTACAAGCCCTGTTTTGTTTGTCAGGACAAATCTTCTGGATATCACTATGGTGTCAGTGCTTGTGAGGGGTGTAAGGTGAGTGCCCAAACATTTCAGTTAAATGTTGCTGTTTGTATTCCTTTCATGGCGACAAAAGCCTAATAACAGGATTACACTCAAAATACGCAATCATACAGAAGCAATAGGCGGGATTGGAAACAGAGAAATATGTAGCAGAAATATATAACAGAGAAATATATAATAGTGAAGCCATTTAATAATAATATAATGTATATGGCTAAAAGGATGTGAATTCTAGCTTAAGTGAATATGTTATATGCAATAGGTACTTTAAGCAGTTAAGGAAGAGGGAGTCAGTAGTTTTACAGTAGTACTATATTTATGCCATGTATGACAGCAAACAACGGTGACCATAGAGAAGTTTGTAAATAGATAACAGGAGAAATGAAAAAGACACTTTGAAGCAGACAGACCTTGTTTATAGATAAGATTCCTATAGAATATTTGACAGTTATATTGTTATCTTTTACATTATATAGTTAGCAATCAACTTTAAAGAATATGTTCTCATAGCTGAAGTGCTTATTTTTCTTAGTAATCAAATTTGTTATGGCTTTTCATGTTTTTTTAAGTATTTAATATTGTACTTCCATCCTGCTTGATATAGTGAATCACTATATGACATAATTAGTTAAATTATTTCAGAGTCAATGCTGTTGAAATTATGCAGACTCAGAGGCTCCATTAGACCTTTGTTTTGTACAATACACAGAATTTGGCAGAACACATGAATAAATCCACAACTTGAAGTCTTGTGGCAGCTGAAAAAGAACCACTTAAAATACCACAATGCAGCCCGAATGGTTTAGTGTCTCAAAAAATACTTTGAAAATTACACGTGAAGGAAACTGATAACAAAGAATGGTGCTTTCATTTTCTTCAAATGTTACCTATGATATTGTTTTTTACTTTATTAATAGTTTTTCAATGCTAAATTGCATCTCTGTGTAGGCCTATCTGCTTATACAGTATGTATGTTGACCCACAGTTGTTCTTCAAAGTTGATTTTAGCCTCCACATGGACTAAATGATTATATTTGTGAACTTTTTTAAAAGTAAAGTTCTGATTGGGATTTTACAATATCCAATTATTTCAGTGAATAGAAAACTATAGTCTTACTAAAGATTTCTTTAATTTTTCAATATTGGAAGTATACATGGATTTGATTGATGACTGATTGACCTTAAGGTGAACCTGAGTATTATGTAATAGTTTTTCACTAATCTATAAAGAAGTAAAGGAGACAGATCTCAGTCTATTTTTTTCAGACCTCCATTATGCTGTGAAGACCTCCATTATACCAAAGTAGCAACCTAGAACATCACTTAGAAAAAAATAACAAAATGAAGGAGATAGGACACCTTTTGGATTTAGTGATCAACCGATCTGCCTTCAAATTAAAGTAACTGAAATCAGTCCATCTTTGGTTATCACGATCAATTTATTGTGGGTTGAGCTGATTTGGGGAATGTGAATGATTCTTACTATTTATTTTATCACCTCATTTGCTCAGTGGTTTGAAGCAATATTTTTATGCTCCTTTTATCTCCATAAAGTAGCTGAGAAGTCTTTTTCGTTTTATAAAAACCTCCTCCCCTAGTGAATTAATCCTTTATCATTCTTTTAAAAAAATCATTAATAATCAGCTGCATAATATTAATGAATGGACAATATAGGATTTATATTAAAATAACTGAATAGCTCTAAAGATCAGAAAAAGTCCCCTACCAATTTTTAGGTCATCAAGGAAACCATCATGTTTTCATCACTTTGATTTCACAAACTTTACCCTAATTTTACAGTAGTCTGGTCTTGGTTAATGATCTGCATGGTTTTTTTTTTGACTACTTATCTTTAGATGCTTAAGATGGTAGTTGAATTATGCATGCATCAGTTCTAAATATCCAGTGGAACATACTTACACAACAACCATTCTAATCTCAGGCATAAACATGTTATTTCTATCATTTATTTATTTTGATTTATCTTGAGTTCCTGCCCATCCTTTTCCACTGCTTAGTTTGATAATGATGATTCTTTATCTGGTAAATCAAATTTAGCTTGATAGTCCTTCCTATCCAGCTTGTAGAGTTGTTGAGAATTGGAAGGCATACAAGCTTAATAAATTATTGTTATTATTCTCTATAAAGTCATTATCCTCCTTCAAATCCAAGACTTTTGCGCATGTGCAAGATGAGAAATGGTTGCCAAGCTTTACCGCTCTGGCTTCGGAAGACAAAAAGCGTTTGAAAACTTATGGAACTAACCCTGGAAGCTGTGCGGAAAGGGGCTCCTGTAGGAGATCGGGATTCAGGGCACCCAGAGAGACGGCTATCTGGGGGGTCGCCGTATTCGGGCGACTCCTCGTCGGTGTTGCCGCCCTTGGTGGTTTTCGTGCTGGTCAGTAGTGCTGGTCGGCGGCAGTGTCGGATGGCATTGCGCTAGCAGCGTTTTCGGCCTTGTTTCTTCGGCCCTGGGGAGCCCCTGGACCTGTGCCGGACTATTCATCGCCCCATGGAGGGGTTGGTCAGCCTGTGACGGTACTGGGCGAGATTGGGCGACTGGTTTTATCTGCTGCCACTGTGGCTCTCCCGGGTGTCCCCCTCCCTTTCTACTCGACTCGGTCTTTCCTCTCAGCACAGCCTCTCTTCTACTCTGCCGTCGCCGCTACGGGGCCTCTTGTTACTCGACACCTGGCTCCTTTTAAACGCGGTTTCTGGACTTTCAACCTCGGCTCCATCTATTGCGACCATCGCCACCCTTCTCCTTCGTTTCCTTCTCCGCTTTATCTTTTCAAAAAATACCATCGCTGCAGCGAGTATGAAAATCCTCTGGTGTACCAGCAACACCTGCAGCTTGTTCTCCATTACATTCTTCAGTGGAATGGGGTGACAGAAGATGGTGAAGACGCAGGTGGGGGACTTAACGCCCTTTCAGCCGACGCATGCCCCCCCCTTCAATCCACCTCAGCCACCCCAGACTTTGGCCCCCTTTTTCTGCACCGTTCCAGGTTCACAGGAGAAAAGGGAAGATTAGACACTCTTCTGCTACATCATCACTGGTTTCCAGCTATTTGAACTGCATGAACCGCTTGCACAAAATTAACACATGCGCAAATTTTATTTGTATGTGGAATGTTTGTATGTATGAAGATGAATGATCCCACGTTTTAAATTAATTTAATTTAATATTTTTGTATTATTGTACTATTATATGTTCTTAACAGTTACAGTGGGTTATGTATGAGGAGAATGCCTGTGCGGTATAAATGAGAGGACTGAGAGTGTGGCCTGGAGCCCCCTCCACTGAGTGCAGAAGCAGAAGTGGATGGGGGCCCAGACCCGCCTCTCGTCCTAGAGTGAATGGTACGAATGGCCTGCCAAGAAGAACGGGGGCCGTGAGAGGTGAGGAGGAGTCTACGGGATGGAGGTGGGGCGGAGCATCTCGGTTGCGACCGGGAGGGGCAGGTATGACAGGAGCTACAGGGCTAGCCATTACCGGGGAAGGAGGGCTCGCTACATCACAGCGATCCCTTGTTCCGGCCCTGAAAGCTCAACTCAAGGACCTGGTGACAAGAGTAGTCAGGGCCATGGTCTTAGGTTGCTGCTGCTAAATGCCAGGTCTGTGATTCATAAAGCTCCCCTTGTCCGGGACTTAATATTAGACGAGGGGGCAGACCTGGCATGTATTACTGAAACCTGGCTGGGCCACGAGGGAGGAGTCTCCCTCTCAGAAATGTGCCCAGAAGGGTTTCAGATGCTCCACCAACCACGACACCAGTAAAGGGGTGGGGGAGTGGCAGCTATTATCTGAGAGTCATTAGTTCCTCGCAGGATCCCTGTTCCAGAGACTGTCGGGTGTGAGTCTCTTCTCGTGAAGTTGGACCTAGGGGGTCAAGTGGGCTTGTTTTTGACGTACCTACCTCCCAGCTGCGTCACAACAGCCCTGCCTGCGCTCCTAGAGTCAGTAGCTGGACTGGCGGTTGAGTTCCCCAGACTGATAGTACTGGGGTACTTCAACCTGCTATCTCTAGGCGAACGCTCTGATGGGCTCAGGAGTTCATGGCTTCCATGACAACCATGGACTTGACCCAGGTAATTCAGGGTCCGACTCATACAGCGGGACACACACTCGACCTCGTATTTCTCTTGGGGCAGTGGAGACGTGATCTTGAACTAAGGGTAATAGAGATCTCGCCCTTGTCATGGTCAGATCACTTCCTGCTGAGGCTTGACTTCTGGAAGCTACTCCCCCACTGCAGGGAGGTGGAACCGATTAAATGGTTCCGCCCCAGGTGCCTGATGGACTCATTGGGATTTCAGAAGGAGCTTGGAGAGATACCTAACTCCCTTGCCCACAATCTGACAGAGTCCTTGGTCGCCGCCTGGAATACAGCGGTGACTGAGGCACTAGATTGAATTGCGCCTTTGCAGCCTCTCCGCAGCAGTGGATCCAGGATTGTTGTTGGGGGCAATATGCTGTCTCTGTAAACCGCTTAGAGAGGGCTGAAAGCCCTATGAAGCGTTATATAAGTCTAACTGCTATTGCTATTGCTATCTTGGTTTACCGAGGAACTCTGGGAGATGAAGCACCAAAAGAGACGCCTAGAGCGACATTGGAGGGCTAACAACTCCGAATCCGATCGAACACAACTAAGAGCCTTTATTAGGACTTATTTAGTGGCGATACGGGCGGCAAAATGTACACATTTTCCGCTCTTATTGCATCTGCAGAATCTCACCCGGCCACCCTGTTTAGGATAACCCGCTCCCTCCTGAAAGGGGAGGACGCGAGGGAGCCCTTATAGGGAAGGGCTGAGGAATTTGCTCAGTTTCTGTCGAACAAAATCACTCAGATTCGGACAGACCTTGACTCCACTTGGACAGTACCAGCGACGATGCTGAGGGAGTGCCTTGATCAGACTTCTTGGAATGAGTTCCAGCTTGTCACCCTTGAGGAAGTGGACAAGGCCATGGGAGCGATGAGTGCCTCCACCTGTTTACTGGACCCGTGC